CCCCCCCCCGGTTGTCGGCCTTGCAATTACCGTCCTATATCCATTTTTTCTATTTTCTCAAAAGTTTTGAAAAGAATTTTTATAATAGAATATATAATCACCTATTAAATAATAATCTTATATATAACAATTAATATGGTTTTTAAAATAATAATTCTACGGAACCTGCAGTTACCCAGCTTTCATGAAGTATAACTGAATTATTTGAAAATTCCTAATATACTTTGAGAGTTTTCATAGATTTAACAAAAGCATTTGATACCATAGATCATGAAATTCTTATAAAAAGGTTAAATTATTATGGAATAAGTGGTAATGTTCTAAACTGGATTACTAAAGAAATATATCTAAGTTGGTTCAAATTGGCATAGAAAATTGCTTGATATAACATGTGAAGTACCCCAGGGATCAATATTAGGACCCTTACTATTTTTTATTTACTTTAATGATCTCTATAAAGCCTCAAACTTAATGACCATTATGTTTGCAGATGACACTAATCTGGGTTTATCTCTCAACAACATAAATAATCTATTTAAAAACATGAACAACGAACTATTTAAAATCTCTGATTGGTACAAGACAAATAAATTATTTCTCAATATTGATAAAACCAAATGGATTTTCTTCTAACCTTATTTTAAAAAACACTTTCTACCAAATGAGATTTTTTTTTTATTGACAACACTCTAATAAGAAAAGTAAGCTTTACCAAACTTTTAGGCGTTTATATTGATGAAAATCTCTCATAGAAAATTTGGGCAACAAAATATCTAAAAATGTTGGAATATTATAAAAAACAACAAAAACCTTAAATAAGCACACCTTAACTTAACTATATTATTCATTTATCCATTGCCACCTAAACTAAACAAATATTGCGTAGGGTAGTACAAATAAAAGTAAACTTGAACGTCTATATCGTCAACAAAAATATGTTGCACGCCTTATTAATTTTAGGGATCGTTTTACTCATGCCAAACCTCTCCTAATTGACATGAATGTTTTTAGAATATACGAGCTGAATATGTTTTTAGAATATACGAGCTTTCAATGTTCTTTGTTTTATGTATAAATGTAAAAACAGTTTATCTCCTGAAACTTTTCAAAATTTTATTACTTTGAAAGAAAAGAACAAATATATCTTAAGAAATGATCAAAGCTATTCGACAACGTTTTCGTTTAGCTTTTCTGTGGAATAAAATAATTTCAAAAAATTTTGATATTTTTAAGAAATGTAGTTATCCCTTCTTTAAACAAAAAGTAAAATATATTATATTTTCAATTGATGAAATATCTATGTTTTTTTAAAATTTTAATTTTAAGTTTTTTTATTTTATTTTTTCCAGAAAAATATTTTATTGTTAAAGTTATTATATATTGTAAACATATACTGTCTTCTAATGTACTTATTCTGTAAATGTTATATATAGCTTTGTGAAATATACTTTGTAAAATATATTGTGAATGAGTGTGTATATTTATGTGTATGTATATATATGTGTGTATGCACCTGTGTGTACGTATACATGTATATGTATGTATGTATGCATGTATATGTATCTATATATACATGTATATGTACGTATACATGAATGTGTATATATATATATATATATATATATATCCATATATGTCTGTGTTTGTATGTGTGTATGTGCGTATGTATCACGGTTAGCATCGTGATACATACGCACCTTATAATGCCTACCTAGCTTTCCCAAGAACGCCACTTATACGGAAAGTTAGCGTACATATCAAGGTACCCTGTGATGTAAATTTTGAAATTATTTAATTTTGTGCGCGGAAAATAATTTAATTTGAATGTTTAGATTAAGTCAAATTGTGACTTCATCGTGCGCCAATAAAAATACTTGTAGAATTTGAACCACTCAATATAATTTGATGAAAATTGATGCAAATGTAGCCAATAGTCACACCAAACTCTGTACAAAATTTAATCCTGATTGGATGACTGGTGTAGGATTCATTGCAGTTTTAGTTGAAGTTTTGTCAGTTTTTTGCTACTTATACCTTAAAGCGTTACTAATTACTTTGAAATTCGGTCACTATTTTTAAAATAACGGTTTCATGAGTTTTCTACTATGTAATACCAACAATTTTTGTTATAATTATTTTATCGTTACATCTACAGTTTTCATTTTATAGACCAAAATAGTGATTTTCTACTTAAAGAGTGATTTAAATAGTCTTATGCTAATAGTGTTGACACGGCCTTCAAAGTGGAGGGGGTCGACCCCTTAATTTCTAAAATAAAATCCATAATTTCTAAAATAATTGCTTATATTTCTAAAACAAAAGGTCATCGCAAAAAAAAGTAGAGAAGGACATGATCCCTAGCCTTCCCGGCGTTGACGGCCATGTATGCTTCGCTTGAATATACCAACATTTCCTAAGGTATAAACTGCTGCCAAAAAAAAAAAAGCTAAAAAAAAGTGCAAAACCTGGTAAAAGGACCACCAGAAAGTAAAACAAAAAAAAAGTAGATCTCCTAAAACATTTTGTATTGACCTCCTTAAATACATTTACTTTTAAAATGATGTGAAAACTATTTAAACCCTATTTTTTACATTGTATTACCATCAATTATCTAATTACATTTTAAGAAATGTTTTTTTGATTTTCTCCACCAAAAGATTATTAATAAATAGCTCAATTTACTCTTTTAATACAAATACTTTATAATACTACTTTTAAAGATGGGGAAAATATTCATTATACGCCGTAAAATATGAATTTCAGCAGCCTAATTTCTAATAACTCAAATGATGTTCTTTAAAGATTCTTATTGTTTAGATCAATTACGCAGCGCAACAATCTTTCTTTGTACTCTGGATGATTAGTATTTCGCTTATACCTTATACCAATATTGATAAAAATCTTGATGAGAAGTTTCGACAGTTTGTTCACTATAGGGCCCCAAGGGGGATCTTTTTGAATGATGAAATCCTTGATGTGGTAGAAGACGGTGTGAATTTTGGGTGTTCCGCTTGCACCAGTTATCATTAGGTAACACATTTTGAAATTTTCAATTTTTTCAGGGAAATCCGGCTGAAAGATGTATACAAAGCAAGCCTTGACAACTAAATTGAATCTTTTGAATGCTTCAATTATGCATACAATATTAGGAACTATGTTTTTCTCAGCAAATTGCTGCAGCATATCCACATTTTTAAGAAACTTCCTGCATTCATTTTCCTCAAACTGGCCCCTGTGATACGGGCTCAGTTGAATGTGGAAGGCGGCTGGCCACTTAACAGCTTCTATCCAAGCAGTTTTAAGGATCTTGAAAAGATGGTAAACAACTTCTAAGAGGAGATGCATTTCCATCGGTAGAAAATTTCCAAAATCAGAACATTGGCAGGCCCACAGATGATTGGCTTTCGAGTGACATTGCCAAACAGCTTTGCATTAGCAACAACCCCGCCAGATTGCTAAAAAGACACAAGGCTTGAATTAATTGAGCCCAGTGTTCCCAAGTTTCTAGATTTGCCGAGAAAATTGGATTTGATGTCACACCAGGTGCAAGGGTGCGTACTTGAATGAGTTTGAAGACCACAAATTATATTTGCAACTTTCATATCACAAGCCAGAATTAGTTTAACTCCATTTGCATTAATCAGTGACCAGACTTTTCAATATTGGATTCAATATTTTTCAATGTTTCTGGCAAATCTTTTGAAACCCCGACAATAATTTGTCTCTTGACTCCAGTGTCTTTACCAGTCCTTTGAGTGAGAGGTTGTTGTTGGTGCGGTGAGCTGGTTTCATCCCTTAACGCAGTATCAGTAATGCTTAAGCAAAACTTGAGAAAACCTTTGCCACCATCAATTCCGAGCTTAACAAAATAGCCACCAGAAACTTTGTGGGACTGAATAGCATAATTCACAAAACTTGATAAATCATTGCAGTGAGCAACAACATGAACTGTACAAAAATTAAAAACCTACTGGATCTAGCCAACCTACAAACTATCAACCAACTTACTGACTACCTACCTAATATATACCTATCTCCTATTTATTTACTTACCTATTTCCTACTAACCTACTATTACCTATTTATGTTTTATAGGAAATAAATACTAATGTTGATTGAATGTGCAATCGTTTTTTTTTTCAACAAATTCGAAACATTTTTTGTTAAAGATTGAGCATATTTACAGATTTGAGTTGTTTATTATAAACAAAACCGAGATGAGAATATAGAAGATTTTTGTTTTATCTTTACGCTCGAATTGTATGTAAAATGTTAATAATCCAAATGTTAATAATCCAAATTAAATATCCAAAATTAATTTTCAAAAACATCTTACAAATTATACAATATCAAAATACAACAGAATAAAAAATAGAATAAAAATTTTTTTTTACTTTTTATATTTCACTTAAGTTTCATTATCGTGTAAAATAATGTTCAAATCAAGATAATTTTGAAGTAACTGGAGAATCGTTCAACATGGTAGAACCATACAGGTTTCAACAACATGTGTTAGACTTTGAAAAAGTGTTAAGTTTTTAATTTTTTTTATTTATAGAAAAATCCGAATTTTTATAACTGTTGTCTAACCTGCATCTAGATTTACCATTTTAAAATTAAATATAATTTTTTTAATCTTTTTTTATAATTTTGAAGATCATAAAAATATTTTTTTTACAAACTTTGGCACAAAAATAACACTATATTTGCTTTTTTTTTTTTAAAAAAAAATCTCTTTTGTTATTCTAATTATAAAAAGAAAAAGCATGATTCGTATCCAGGTGATAACAGAATCAATACTGTAACTACCAAAATTGTATAAATTTAAATAAACATACGTATTAATAAAATTTCTATACTCACAATTCATCATGAATAAAAATTTATTTTTCTTAAATGATAAAATGCATTGAATAAAAATTCAAAGGTTTCCAAACTATTATTATTTTTTTGCTAATTAAAACAGAACTAAAACAATAACTTCAACCTTTTTTAATTTTTAGAAGTTATAATAAAAAAGATACGTTTATCTAAAATTGAATGTGAATTCGATCCTAAAAACTGAAGCTTCAACTTTTAATCATAAACTACTTTAGCTGGGTAGATACTTGAAGAAAAGTCCATTCAAACGAATTGAGATTTTAAAATTACCTCTTTGTAAGTGGAACTTTGTGTTTATTTATGGGAATTTGTTTTCAAATATAATTCTGCTTAGAGTTGGACAGTTCTTTGTTTTGATTTTTAAGATTAGTTGTATGCAGAATTTTGAATTTTTGTAAGTCTTACTAAAAACTTATTCAATCTCATAAAAAAATAATAAAAAATAAATATTAAAGTTTGTGACAATTTAAATAGGATTTATCAACAGGTTTAAAGTTTTATTAAAAATTTGAATTCTGTTTGCTTTTAATATTTCCGACCGGTCGGGGATTAGGTCGCAACGCAATTCATAAAAAACTAATAGCAAATGAAGTTTAAAACTTACTACGTTTGTATAAAAAAATTTTCTTCTCAAAACAAAATCGAACAATTATTATTTAAAAAATAATAATAATTTAAAACAGTTAAATAAAAGATAAGAAAGGAAAAACTTTTTAATAAGCAGAAAACTTTACACTTCTTACTGGTTTTTTTTAAATTGGGCTTTATTTCTCGCCGGAACATCCACGCTTAATAAAATTTTACTTATGAGATATTAGCAGGAAAAATATTTTTGCCTAATATTTGCTGCAACCTAAAAAGAAGCAAAAATTTTACCGTTTGTAAACATAGAGTATAACACGTACAAAAATTTAGTGACTCGAAATTTTGTGACACCCCAAATAATCTATTCGCCATGATTTAAAGATTCAACTTTTTTTTAAGAGAGGGAATTCTTAAAGTAATCTTTGAAGATAGTTGTGGTCTAGAAAACGCTTTTGTCAAAGTGGTTTGCCAGACATCTTTTAATTACTTTCTAAATTATTAAAAACATATCTGAATCTTTTTTATTGTCAAAATAACCATATGCCACTATTTCTAATTTAGCATTTTTTATAAAAAGATAATAAGTTATAGAAATTTGTATTAGATCCTTAGATATTTAATTAACTCAAGCAAAAATGTAAAACAAAAGCTGATAAAATAATTTTGCTTTCAAAAAATTTTTCCGCAGTTTCAAATAAAAAAATATTTTTAAAACTTAAAACAGTTTAAGAATTACAAGACTTTAGCGACATGGTTATAATTATGCAATTTTCTAGTTAAATGGTCTTCCACGGAGATCTGACAAGACCGAAAAGATTCTGCCGTTGTTTTGATAAGCAGAAACAAAAAAAAAAAATTCAAAATATATTTTCATCAAAAACAACTGCTCGTTTTCTTTGCAAATCATTTATTATTTATGGTCAGATCTGATAACTTTAGAGAAACGTTTTCTGTTTGTGTTTTTGTAATATTTATGTATATACTTATATACTTAGAGTACTGAAAAATCATTAGAAATCAGAAATATAAACGTTGTTTTGAGATTAATCGATTCTAAAAATAAGGGAACCGGTATTAATATTTCAAATTTTAATCTGGTATCCTGTATGCATTCAGTTTTGTCTTGAATTTTCTTTTGTTACCTAGAAATTTATAATTTTTGATAAAACTTGCTTTTTCTAGACCATACATGGCAAAAATGAGTGATCAGAGCTACAGAAAAAAGGAGCACCATTAAGTTTTACTAAAAAGTACATAAATAAGTCAGACAGAAGTATTCTTCTGCCTGACTCATTTCTGTATTTCTCTGCTCAAGAAAAACAATTTAAGGTATCGACCTCATCTGTCAGAAGAATGAAGAAAGCACTAAGACGAGTCTTGAGGCAAAAATAATTGGAAAAGATGGCCGCATGAGCATTACAACTCCACAGACAGAAAGGGATGTTTTAAAGCTGTGCCGGTCTGGCAGAAGGAGTTCATGTACAAAAACTGCTTTTTTTTTTGGAAAATGAAAGTATGAAGACAGGTCAAATGACTGTTTTCAAAGATTACAGGAAGCTAGACTTTATGGTTACCACCCCAAAAAAAACCTCGGCTTACTGAGAAAATTAAATAAGCATGTATTGAGAGGCCCTGGCGCATAAAGATTTAAAAAATAAGTATTGGTCAAAACTCTTCTTTTTAAATGAGGTACCATCTGAGCTAGATGACAGAGTTCAGAATGTAAGAAGAAGACCAAAAGAGGAGTTTAGAGAAGATTGCTTCAACCAAACAGTAAATTTTTCTACGAAGAGTATAGTGTGCAACATCAACAAAAGGGACACATTGTCTGCACATTATTCAAAGGACAGTGAATATAGAAAAGTTCATTTGCTCAGTATCCGTTGAAAGCCCTTAATAACAAAAACTTTTTTTTTTAAGCAGTAATCAGTACCATGGTCCACTGCACGCATTCAATGACAACAAATAATATTTGGGTATTCCCATGACAATGGAGTTCCCCTCACAATAATTCCATAGAGTTTTTCACTTTTGGACGAGCTCAAGGATAAAACTTATGAATTGCCAATAATCAATAAACCATTTCTCATAGAACATGTGTAGCAAGTTGATTAAAAATATGCCAAATCGAGTGTAGACACTATTTAAAGTCAAAGGTGGTCACACAAAATATTGTGAAGACATTCCTTAAACATCCATATGTTTATATATATATATATATATATATATATATATATATATATATATATATATATATATATATATATATATATATATATATATATATATATATATATATATATATATATATATATATATATATATATATATATATATATATATATATATATATATATATATATATATATATATATATATATATATATATATATATATATATATATATATATACATATACTTATACTTTATTTTATCAGTATTTAGAATTGCTTTATTGACTTAAGTTTTTATCATTTAATTTTTTTTTTTTTTTTTTTTTTGCTGTTTCATATATTTACAATAAAGGCATATTACATTTATAAAAATTGGTCTGAGCAAGAAGAAGACATTGACTGTCTTATCACTGAACCCCGTTTACCTATTGTCCATGTTTATAAAAAAAATATATAATATACAAAAAACGTTAAAAAGTACATAACTTTTCTTAAATAATAAAATGGCTTTTATATTAAAGATTTAAAAATAAAGAAAGTTTTGTATACTGATACAAATATAATTTATACATTTTTAACTATATATATTTAGTGCTAATAGAAGCGTTTTTTCTGTTTTAAAATTACCTTTTAAAAAAAAAATTTAATGTCTATTGTATTAAAATCTAATTGAAGTTTAATTAAAATCTAAATAAAGATTCTTTTAGAAAATGTTTTAAATTTTTCTAGTAGTGTTCTTTATTGAAGTTTTTAATAAATTTTTTTATAAAAAAGTTGATATTGAATTCAATAAGAACTTATTTTTAAATTAATTATTATCTGAAAACTTTGTTGGATACTTATGAGATATTTCGCTAAAATAAGGTTGAAATATAAGTGGAGATATTCCATGTTTCATTTTAAACATGAAAAGCAGTATTTTGTAAATGTTTAGTTTATAAATGTTTAGGGCCTTGAGACGATTTAATAGTGGTTCGCAATAAACAGTTTTGTTTGCCCAAAATACAATCCTACAAGCATGCTTTTGTTTACTATAAAGTTTTTTGAGTTTTCCGTAATTCGTACTTCCCCATGCAATGTTGCAGTAAGTAAGATAGCTGTGAATAAATGAAAAATAAATTTTCGTTAGAACTTTAATGTTTAAAAATGGTTTTGTTTTATAAAGTACGGATATACAATAAGAGATTTTACTTTCAATGGATTGGATGTGAAACTTCCATGACAAGGTTTCATCAAGAACTACTCCTAAAAAGTTAACTGTAAATTTTTATATCTGTTTTATTGAATAAAAGATTTGGCTGTTTAAGTGGAATATTATCAACTTTATTTGGTTTGTGGAACTGGGTGAATTTATTTTTATCTACATTTAGTAAAATTAGTGAAAAATAAAATTCAAAATTCATAGTTGTATAAGATTCTTTAATATCGCTATTTAGAAAAGAGATAAGTTTTTAGCAATAAATATAGTTTGAGATCTTCTTTTTTTATTGTTAATTTGTTAAAAATAATAATAAAATAGTTTTTACCCTACGCTAAATTAAATCAGCAAGGCTTTTTACAAACTTTTACGTGCTGACTTTTTCCATAAACTTTATATAATATTATTGCATTTTCAACAAGATATTTTTGATAAATGATATTCTTCTGTATTTTCAATAACTTTAAGCGTATCGCAAGCTTCGATCTTAGGTCCTAGGTCCCGTTTTTTACCTATACTAACAATTAACTTTTACGATTAAACTTGATTTATTTATTTATGATGTAATTATATATTGCTGTTTTGATTTTCCCTCTAATTATTTAAAACAGACATTCAATCTTGAATATTCCCGATGGAAAAAAGATAGCTTAACAAAATAAAGACGTTTTTAAAACGTCTAAAACACATATTACTACATGTTTTGTACGTCTTAAACGCTTTTTTTACTAATAGATAGCAACTAGCTAGCTAGTTGCTAGCTCATTTCCCATTGGTTTATTTTCTTCTGTGACTGATTTTTACTCAATGGTTATTTTTTGCTGGTGATCAAATAATCGGAAATCGTGTCGGCAATCCGTGAAAAACTGGCGTCAGCTAAGCTTACCTTTATATCTTACTTAATTCCAAATTTTAATTAAAAAAAATTTAATGAAATTTCTTTTTTTTTTTTCATGAGAAGTTTCATTCTTGTGAAAAGTGTTTAAAAACCATTATCGCTTGAAATGCTTTTGACTAGCTTTGGTATAAAAAAAAGATATGTTTGTATCATTATAAAATCATAAAATGATACATCATCAATTTTAATAACTTAATAGGCAAAGAAGCAGTTTTTAAATTTTTTATTATCTGTTACTTACTTTAATGTTTGTCATACGTATTTTGAACTTTGGTTAAATTTTTCTAATTTCATTTTTTCAAGTAACTTTTTCACTTCAATCATTTACAGGGCCGACGACATCGGGAGGCCAGACCCTTACTCCCCCCCCCCCCCCCACACTTATTTTCTTGAGGACCTTTTATTTATTTATTTATTTTTTTCTGAGAAAAACCTCAATATAGAGGACTTTTTTCACAAATAGATGATTGCACCCCCTACTTCAAAACCCGTGTCGTCGGCCCTGATTTAGCTTACTTTTTATAACTTGTTTTACTTTATATATTTACAGCTTTCTAAACTTATATGTATAATTTTGCCTAATTTGTAAAAATTAATTTTAAAAAATGCCTCTTGTTAGTAATAAATTTTTATTAGTTGAAAATATTGTTCAATATATAATCTCGTCGCATAAAAAAAGAACATCAATGTTACTTTATTAGGGCTGTTTATTAACAAAATTGCTCCTTTTTCCAAAATATTGTAAAATTATTTATTGTTACTTTTACCGTGTTATTCAAAACAGTTTTGTAATTTAATTCCTTTTCTTATGGTTTTAAAGTGAAGATTATATTGTGTAAAAAAAAAAAAGTTTAATAAGGCAGTTCGGCAATTACGGCGACTTTATTCTATTTTCTATTTTTTGTTGTTGTTGTTGTTTGTTTGTTTAATTATAAAAATCTTATTTTTACCAATTAATTAATTTATTATTTAACAAACCTCAAGAGCAATTAAAAAATTTAAAAAATTACTTATGTTTTGTTATAATATTTAGCTTTATAATTGATGTAAGGAATGGGATGAGGTGGGACACAATATATTCGCAGAATAGTAAAAATAATGCAAAGCTTTTTTTATTACTGATATAAGTTGACAATTTCTACTTCATATTGTTGTGCTTTTGAGTTTTAGATGTTTGTTTTTTTCAAAATATTTGTGAAAATAATTTATGAAAATTTAACAAGTTTTATAGGTTATAAAAACATTTGTAATAGTATACTAGCTGTCTTGACCCGAAAAATGGGTCACGTTATGTCTGTTCGACACTTATTATTTGTATATAAATATTTAGTCTAATTATTTCAATTAAGACAGAAAATAATTCATTTTGGATTTAAGTTAACTGTTAACCCTTTATAAATTTATATTGACTTCATATCTTTAATTTAAAACACCGGGGTTGGACGCCTAAAACTTAATTTTTTCCGACTTCCTCTCCTCTCCCCCCTCTTATTGCTTATGAGTTTTAATGTAGAAACTCTTAGATGATTAATACACAAGAGGGGGAGGTCGGTTCGAGAATGTTTATTAATTTTTACTTGTTATCAACAAAAAAACAATATCACAAAACTTAAAATATATATATACATATTTTTTCTTAAAATATATACATATACATACATATTTTTAGGATAACAAAAGCTTCTATCAGCATGTTATTTGATGTGTTGTAATTTATGGCGTTATGTCGTATTTTATAACTTGTTATTATTATTTTCAACTGATTAATATTGCAATTCTCTACCCTGTGCAAAATTGCGGTAAATCGAATGCCAAGTTGCGTGGATCAACAAATACAACTTATTTTTTCGGAGGAATCTTTCCACTTCATCAACAAGATATTCTTAGTGAATCACCTATATTGTTAGTTTCGTCAATGATGTTAGCCGTTCAAGAAATTAATGAAAGCAAAGACATACTACCAGGCATTAAAATAGGTGAAATTTATTTTATATTAAACTTCTTTAAATGGAGAGAGTGATTTATTGTAAGATATGGTGAAACTAAAACAAATAAAACTAAAACAAATAAACTAAAACAAATATAATTTCGGACTTTTCCATTTACCAACTTTTATTACGTATTTTAGTTTAATATAAAATACAACAACAACAACAACAACAACTACAACAACTACAACTACAACAACTACAACAACAACAACAAAAACAACAACAACAACAACAACAACAACAACAACAACAAAAACAAACACAAAAATAAACCTGTTGTACAGATGAGCACAGATTTACGGTAGTAAACATTTATGATCTATTTTTTAGTATAATATAAGTTATAATTATAAATATTAAATGTTTACGTATAATTTATTTTACAAACATAATATCTAATCAAAAAAAAGAAAAATTTTTTTTAAATTTTATTTTTTATTTCACAATGCAGCATTTTATATCTCTATTTATTATTTATTCTTTATATAGTTTAAAATTTATTCTATTTATTATTTATTCTTTATATCGTTTGAAATTTTGAAAGTTTTTAAGTTCTACCGTTTTATTTAAGGATATGAAATTCGAGATTCACGAAATGATATCTTATGCGCATGCGACTACGCTTTAGATTTTTTGTTAGAGAATAAACGAAGTTCTGTTCTAAGTGGGGTAGTAGGACCAGCATCAAGCTCTTTAAGTGTTGCCGTGAGTACAATGTTGTTATCTGACTATGTCCCACAAGTTTCTTATTCATCAACAAGTATGTCATTATCACAACGTTCCGTATATCGCAACTTTTTTCGCACAGTCCCTTCTGATGCACACCAAGCAAAAGCTCTTGTTGCATTAATTGAGTTTTTCCAGTGGACTTATATTTCTTTGATTACATCCAGAAATGATTATGGTCGCTTCGGTCGCGATGAAATTCTCAAAGCCGCAACGGAAAAGAATATTTGCTTTTCAACTGATATAACCTTTGACGTAAGTTTTTCAGGAAATGAGATAGATATTATTTTAAGTGGTATTGAGCAAAATTCGCATGTTGTACTTCTATGGTGCGACGGATTATATGCAAAATCGATTATTTCAAAAAGTATATCACGTGGTTTTAGCAATATTACCTGGATAGGTAAAAGTATATTTTTGTGTTTCACCTTTATAAGTACTAATAACATAGTATGAATAAAAGACAAAAAATTCACAAATAATTTAGCTTTATTACTTAAACAACCATTTATTAATAAAGTTAAACTACTTAAACAGTTAACTTAAACTTTTTAATTTTAAAAAAATTTAAAGAAAGCTTGTTTACATTTTGTTATAAATTGCAGGGAGTATTATAATTTGCATAGAGTACTTCAACAACAAGAGTACAAGCAAATTTATTTAAAAACAAAACCTTTTCTTTTTCCAAACCAACTTGAGTTTTTAGAAAAATAAAATAGATTTAAATTTCCTGATCAACCGACTGTCGAACAAATAGTTGATAGCTTAGACATAATTATTTAATGATTTTTTAAAAATTTTTGTTTAAGCTGATAGCTTAGACAATAATTTTTTTAATGATTTTTATTAGGGCTGTGCCTACTAATAAGCAAACCAAGGCAGCTGCCTGGGGCCCCCAACGTCCAAGGGGCTCCAAAGATACTTTGAGAATGAGTCAAAATTGTGCAAGTGGATTTAGCAAACAAAAGAAAAAAGCAAGAGGATGAGAAAAAGATTGAACGTTTGCCTAAAATTAGTTCATTTTTCAACCAACCACAACACCAATAAAAATTCCTAAGGTTGAGCTTCACAAAATTTCTTTAAATCCTGCAGGACTGGGCTGATCAGAAAGTTCTACAATAATTAAAGAATACTTTTTGGGCTTCCTTGTAGCTGAAGATCAATTAGGTGCAGGAATTCCAAAATTAAAAATACCTCTCTGACTGAAAATGGCATAAATATTGATGACTGCAGAGACAAGGATATGACAATGGAAGCAAAATGAAAGGAATAAAGAAATGGAGTGAGATACGCTGGGAATTTCAAATAGAAAGTGTAAAAGTTGTTAGAAACCGTTTAACTAAAATTTTGAAGGCATTAAAAGAATTAGAAGACTCAACAAGTGATCCCTTTGTCTTTGCTGAACTGAGATCTTTGACAAACGAATTATCATCAGATGCCTTCATCATAAAGACTGTGATATGGTATAAACTTCTGCTGCAGATTAATATTGCAACAAGTACTTGCTATCTGAAAAAATGGACCTTCAATTAGCTATGCAATAATCAAAAATTGTAAAGTAGTTCTCAGAACTCTTAGAAATAATTTTGACAGTTTGTTACTTGAAGCTCAGAAAATTGCAGCTGTGAAATTGATCCTGTGCTGCCTCAACCTCAAATGAGAAAAACCAAAAAACAATCTCTCTACGAATCAGCTGAACAAACACAGTTTACAGCAATGGAAAATTTACGGATTAACTTCTTCAATGAAACAATAGAAGTAACTATACATGGGTTGGATAAACGAACCACTGAACTGAATCATTTGTGTGGAACATTTGGTTTATTTTTTAATATTAAGACTGTTGATAAAGAAGGGTTAAATACTAGCAGTGAAGAATTAGAAACAAAACTGAATAGAAAGGGAAGAAGTGATATGGACAGCCAAAAATAATTTCACAAAAATTTTGAACATTATCAACTTACTACCAGTTGATGTGATATCACTAATTGAAGTGCTTTAATATATTAACAAGAAACATATGACAGAGCTATACCTTTACCTTTGTATAGCATTTCTAGTTCTACTGACAATTGTTGTAACAGGGAAGAGATCGTTCTCCAAGCTGAAATTGATTGAGACGTTTTTGAAGACCACCGTGTTACAAGAGCGACTCAATGGGCTAGCATTACTGAGCATTGAGCATGAGATAGTCTAATGTACGAGGAAATAACAACTAAGGCCAGACAAATTGCATTGTAAAATTGGAAGAATATGTCAAGTTATAAAAGTTTTACTTGAAATACAGTTAACTGAAAGTGCTTTGAAATAATTTCCTACATTGTAATAAAATGCATTAAAATCGATTTGAAAAATTGCGGTTGGGGGCTCTACAAGAAATTCTGCCTGGGGTCCCAAAATAGGTCTGCACGGCACGGACTTTAATAATTACATTTTACAATACATTAAAAAAAAAAATCTTAAAAAAAAATCTTTAAAACAACTTTAATAATTTATCAGTAATTCTGAACTATTATCGACACTTAAATTTTATGTTTTTGTATTATAACAATTTTACTATGAAAAATTTAATACGACACATATAAGTTACTTAAAAAGTTTTAAAAACAAGTTGAAATTTAAATATACAACTTATGTTTTTTTGAACTATACTAAAAATCACGTGATACTTTTTAATAACATTTTTATTTTGGTAAAGCTGTTAATTTTTTTAAAATGCAAATTAATAAACAAATATATCAAATTGAAACAACAAATACATTTAAAATATAAAAATAAAAAGCACTTTAAAATGTTACTATCGCAAATCTTGTAAATAGATGTAGAATTAATGTTTTTTGCCAATATTTTTATTAACGGAAATATAATGAACCAATTATTGAATTGTTTTGTTTTATTTTTTTTATTATTATTTTAACATTTTATTAATTTTAAATTATTATGTAATAACTTGCATATCAACAACTATTAAATATTAATTTATTTATATTGGTTAAGGACGAGTCATTTTGTAACCTAAAAGTATTTATTTGTATGAATTTTTGATTATTTTTGAGTATTGTAATAAGATAAACATTTTCCTAAGTGATTTAGGTTAACATTCTCTTTTTTTTTTACATTATAACATAGTATAATATACAATACTGTTGAGATTTATAATATTTTACAATACTGTTGAGATTAAAAAGGAGATTTAACATAAGTGATTTAGGTTAAATTTCATTTTTTTTTTTTACAATATAGTATAATATACAATACTGTTGAGATTTAACGCCATGTTAAATCTTTTACAGACATAACAAGATAGTTAAAGATTAAGTCTAGTTTAGTTTTAAATAAATTGAGATTTTTAACTTCCACTGTTTCAATTGGTAAATTGTTTCAGAACTTGACTGTGTGATTTGTAAAAAAACCTTTACGATTTCGATTTAAATATTTCTTATTGGTGAATAAATGATGTTTATTACCTCGAATGTTTGAACACGGACTAGAAGAATTTAAAGAGTACGAATGTTGAGGGGGCATTTTCCAACTTATTTTTTCTATATCATAATACTATTTGTACATTTGTATGAGATCTCCTCGTATTCTTCGTTGTTTTAAAGATGTTAATTTTATTTTTTTTAGTCTTTTACTGTATGATAAATGACGTAGCTCAGGTGCAGATTTCGTTACTCGCTTTTGATTTTTTTTATATATATTTATATCTTTTTCAAGATAAGGTCTTTATACCTGTATTGGAAATTCAAAATGCAGCCGTATATAACTACAATACAACAATTTTATTAGTTCATTATTTTTATACTTGAATGATTTGCATATTATACTAAATTTATAATTTGTACTAGATTTATTTTTGTTACTAAAATGCATGGGTTTACATATTTTAAAATTGAATTGTATTTTCCAGTTTATTATCCATTTTTCAAATTTAGAAATGTCATTTTAAAAAGCATGTGCATCCGTTTCATTATTAACTTCAGCTATTACTTTACAATCATCTGCATACAACAACAATTGGTTTGTGAGTTGACTTAGAGGATCATTGCTGTATATTAAAAATAAAATTGCACCAAGCACAGACCCTTGCGCTACACCGCTTACTATGTCTACCCATGATGATGTACACTTTCTCCAAGTACAAGTCTTTGCTTCCTAACAGTTAAAAAAGAAATTATTCACTTCGACGTAGATGTAAAGCCATATGCTTCAAATTTTAGTGCTAATCTCCTATGTGAAACTTTGTCAAAGGCTTTTTTGAAATCAGTATAAAGGATAGCAAACAATTTACCATTTGCAACGCGTGTTGTTAGTATACTCGTGTATTCTAGGAGATTAGTTGTGCAACTTTTGCCTTTTGTAAAACCATGCTGATTAGAAAATAATAAACTGTTAATCTATAAATAATGTAAGAGTTTTAATGTAAGTCAAGGAAACTGGCCTATCATTTGAAACTTTATTTCTACTTCCATTTTTAAACAGCGGCGTTATATTTGCTGTTTTTCATGAAATAGGTACTACACCTTCATAAATTGATTTGCTAAATAATAAAGTCAATGGATTAGAAAAAGCATTTACACATTCTTTTAATACAAAAGGATGAATCCCATCTGGTCCAACCGATTTTTTTAGGTTTATAGCATTTATCATATTAATAACTTCAGTTATTAATCTGAAGTGAATTTAAACACTTTTTTTCAAATTTTGGTATAATATCATCTTTATTTTAAATAAATACTGATTGAAAATATTCATTCAAAGTATTAACAATCTTTTTTTGGTCCGTAATGATGCACGAATTAGAATCTTCAAATGATGTTAAATAATTTTTAATTTTTTGTTTTCTGTTGATATAACTATGCAGCAGTTTTGATATGGTTTTACTTTTTTAGCTATTTTTTGTACTCTATTGTAGCTTTCTTAACTTGTATATATACTACTCTTTTTGCTTTATTATATTGGGATTTTTTTTGACTATCCGTCCATAAAGAAAATTTATTGATAGACCAGATTTATTCTTCTTTTTGATATCATTTATAATCTCTTTGTTAAGAAATATTTTTCTGTTATTACGATTAATTTTTACTATTGAAATAAACTTTTTACAACCTGTTTGGTAATGGTAATTAAAAATTTCACAACAATCGTTTATGTTTTTGTTCCAGAAAAGAGTATTCCAATCTATCGAGTGTGTATAGTTTGATATCTCAAAATAATTTCCAAATTTAAAATTTTTTTTATGGTTTTATTTTTGCTTATAAAATTTTCACTTATATTGTCATGTTATTACGCAATGACCTTGATTTCTGTTACCTAAAGGAGCTTTATGTTAAATCCATTTGACTCTATTGGCATTATTTACGATTATTAAGTCTAGTATGTTTGTTTCATGACAAGAGGCTC